CTACGTTGGTGTAGCTTCTGGCTTTGTTGAGAAATCTGTTGCTAAGACACAGTCATAATTTGTTTGCACACTTTCCCTGTGAATGGTAGTTGCTAAACGCACCAAGAGAAACAAGAGGTAAGAGAGGCAGGTGGGTGGAGACTTCATGATGGAAGAGGATTAATCCTCAATCATTTCCCTGGTTCCCCTAGACTAGAGGCTTTCAGAGCTCGGTCCTGGGACCGGGGGCAAACTCACCCCTGGGGATCGTTTGAGGTTCACATCCCCGGGCCTAACCCAGACTTACCCGGTTCACAGGTCTCAGGGGAGCAGCTCACCACCCGTACCTCAACAAGCCCTCCAGCTTACTCTGACAACCCACTCTGACAGGTGGTCGGTCCCACGTGGGACCCACGGACCAGGAGACTCCAGATCAGAAGCGTGGTTCTCAGCCCCGGCCACACGTTAGAATCACCTGGAAAACAGTTTAAAACCCCACAGCCCTGGGGTGACTGCAGACCAGTTAAATCAAAATCTCCGGAGGTGGGCCCCAGGCGTGGGTATTTTTAAAGTCTCCTTGGGACATTCTAGTGCACAGACGGATGGAGACATGGGAGCCTGGGGGGTGTATTGGGAAGAACAAGGACCCCACTCCAGCCACCCAAGCAGTGAGATGCAGAGTTTGGAAGGAAGGAAGTCCAGGAGGCCATACTGAAATGGCAAAAGACCAAAACCCCAGACAGCCCTTCCCGTCTCTCCTGTTCCTCTCTCCAGTGGCCGCATTCCCCGTTTTCTGCCTTTTCCCTGCGCGTTTGCTGAACCGCCCCACCCTCTACGGAGCGACCCCTTCTGCTGGTGCGCTGCGTCCGCACTCCCATCGTCGCTCTTCCGTGTGGCTCGACCGGCCACTCGACCGGCTCCCTCCTCCCAGCTCCAGGAGCATTTCGGCTCCCACACCCACAACTCAGCGGTGATGGGAAGCTGGGGAGACTCATTTTCTCATACGATTTTGACTTAAAACTATGAATTAAGAAACCACATAAAATAAACTTATGTGCTTTTTTTTTTTTACTGAAGAGAAAATATGCTTGAAAAATGCTTTCCTGCTCATGGGGAATCTACAATGTAATTTTAAAATCCCCCTGAATGTAATGGTGGTTCACTACTAATGACAAGTAAGAGAAGGGGGCAGCGAGGTGAACAGAGAGAACAGTTTCGAGTCCCTTAGTCCTTGAAGCCCTCATCCCTCAGGTATTTGTGCAAACGCCGACCTGCTCCCTCCTGCTCAAGTCAGCGTTCCTGCCTGCAGCCACCGCGATCCCAGAAACCGCCCCGAGGTCCGCGAGGCCCTCCTGCTCACGTTCCTCCCCCAGCAGAGCCGTGGGGCCGGCGGCTCCCGTTGGCCCTCAAAGACCCGGTCTTCGCCTTCTCCTGTTCTGCCCGAGCAGACCTTTCCCGCATTCGTCCTGCCGTGGTCCCCTTACACGTGTTTCTCTGATGACTCCCCACGTGCACCTGGGTTGTCCCGGGCCCCTTGCCTGCTGCCAGCAGCGTCCTGGCTGGTGAAGGAGCCGCAGGACTTCCTCGGAGGCCAGAAAGTGGGCCCCGCCTCCTCTGAGTCTGACCAATCCTCCGGCAGCATCCCGGAGGGCAGCTCAGCTGGCTTCCGCGGAGACAGGTCCAGAAACGAAAGTGCTTTAAAGTGTGGCACAGCGCTGCGAGACAGCAATGGCCACAGAAAGCTATTTCTTGCCAGTAATTGACATTCAATGTCACGTGGAGCTGGAGTCGATGTCCCTGTCATCCCTTCCCGTGGTCTCCCTCTGCACGGTGGGGTGGCAGCACATACATGCACATGCTCCAGATGGGACTCGGGGAGTTCGGAGGGAGTGCTGTCGGGATCCCCGGAGCCGCTTTTTTCCAGGATGAGCATCTCCAGGGTCATCAGGTGCCATGCGCCGCTCGTGGTGTATAGGTATTCTCACTTCCCTTGGCTTCCCGGCTCCTCTGGACTGAGGTGTCCTAGTGTGTTCTTAAAGGCCACGCTCACAAATGGAAAACACCACGTTGGATATAAATTGACCGGTAGGAGGTACATTGGACTGACTGTTGTCCTCTTACATATTCGCTTTACTTCTTGCAGAGGCAACTCATGATTGGATTAACCAGATTAGTTTTTGACGTCTGCGGCCACTGACGCCTTCTGAACAGACGGCCGTCAGAAACCTTCCGACGTCTCATTCCATATGTGCTTCCCAGTTCCACGCCTCTGTCCTTCCCGGCACCGCTCCCTGGACCTAGCTGTAGAACCCTGGCTGACTCCCGCCTCAGTGTCTCTGTTCCTGCTTGTTCTGTTCCCTTTGCTGCTTCTCAGTGCCACCCCAGGGGGTTTACTCCGCTACCACTGGTCCTCAGTTCTGTACAGTCAGCGCCTTTGACAGGCCCCTTGGCCCTGCACTTAGCGCACGAAGGCCGTACTTGTAGAGACGGAGGAACGAGTGCGAGGAAACACCTCATTAAAATATTAGGACTTGCCCTGGCTGGTGTAGCTCAGTGGATTGAGCGTGGGCTGTGAACCAAAGCATCACAGGTTTGATTCCCACTCAGGGCACATGCCTGGGTTGCAGGCCACGGCCCCCAGCAACCGCACATGGATGTTTCTCTATCTCTCTCTCTTTCTCCCTCCCTTCCCTCTCTAAAAAATAAATAAATAAAATCTTTAAAAAATACTAGGACTTCCCTCTCTGCGAAGCACACACACGTGTTGTAGCATATGTCCGTTTCCCATGCGCAGTCACAGCCGCACAGCGCGACAAGGTCTTGGGAACTGAACCGACCGTGTAATCCCCAACCGAATTAGGAGAAAGAACACTGTTGGCTGCCCAGAGGCACCAGGCAATACTACTCCCCCCCAACATAAATGCGCCCCTAATTTCTGTCACCATGTTCATTTTGACTAGTTTTGAACATCATGTAGAAGAAATCATGTAAATGTATGCTTTCCTGTCTAGCTTGTCCTCTCATTTACAGTGTTGGAGAGCGCACTGTTGAACCACGACGCCACCGTGAACTAATCCGTCCTACCGTTTACAGTCTTAGGCTAATGACAGTGGTGCTCCCAGGTACCTTCTCGACATCTTCTGGGACCATTTCTGTTGGGAGGGTTCCAGAAAATGTATATATTCAGCATCAGAAGACACTCCCCATGTGTTCTCCAGACAAGGGGTATCAGCTGATAGCCCCACAGGCTGGGCCCAGGAGCTCCCCGGGCTGGCCGTCCTGGTCAGCGTGTGGCGTCGTCTGCCTCTGTGATTTTTGTCGGACCTGTGAGGGGCAGTGGCAGTACACTGTGGTGTTTACATTATACTTCCTTGATGTTAATGAGGTCGAGTCGTCCATTTCCATTTGCTTGATAGCCACGTGGACGTTGTCTTTTGTAAAATGTTGATTCCAGTTCTTCTGCCTATTCAAAAACTGGGTCACCTCTCTCTTCTGTGTTGACGTATTTAGAAAGATGGGATTGGGTCGTGAGTTTGATCATGTCCTTGGGATCAGCGCTGGCCACTGGTAGATGGGGTGCTGGTAATGCATGCCGCACAGTGACATCACAGTTAATTAGGCAGCCGTCCGTGGCTGGTTTTAATGAAGTGTCAACTCAGCAAGTGCCTCGGGCGCCCAGTGGCTACTACGACTGATCATTATGGCGGTAATGAGGACTGTAAACCCTTAGACTTTTTAATTCATTTGGGTGGTTACAGAAAGAAAATGACAAGATTAGATTTTCTTAAACTTTCAACCCAATGTGTTGTGTGAGAATGAAAGAACGTCGGTGACGGCCATAACATAATACCCGATTTCCTATAACCATAGGGCCTGGCATTGCTGAGAATCAATCAAACTAACAATTGCAGGGTCTCACAGGACCGCTAGGAACTGACTTGAGGATATCGAGACCTGGGACTTGGGGTAGGGCCGTGTGACCGTGCCTAAATGGAATGGCGGTCTAGAACCCCGAGTCATTCCGGCCTCACCCAGCAGTGGCCCACCGTCTGGGGGGCCGGTCCTCCTCTGCTTCAACGCCCTGTGACACACTCACTCGGGCAAATGCCTTGGAAGAGGATGTTTTTCTTTCTTTCTTTCTTTTTTTTTTTTTAGATTTGTCAGAACTACCCTACTTGCCCCCAGATCTCATAAGCAGGATCAGAGATAAGTGTGATCCTGGAAGATAAGTACACACTCTGACTCAGCAGGAAGTAGCTTGCACACCAAAGAAATCGCACGACTTTGCTCATGTGTATCATCAGAACCCGAGCGGCGCGTGTGGGAATGAGTTCTAGGCATGTTAAACTGTCAGTAAGGGCAGAACGTGACACCAGACTTGGCTGGCTTCGTTGATAACAGTAAACATTCTAAAGATTTTTATTTCCTGTGGACTTTTAAAATGATATAAAACGCTCATTTGAAAAAAAAAAAAAAAGCTTTTGGCCCACCCTGACAGGCGTGGCTCAGTGGGTTGGGTGTCGTCCTGCAAAGGGAAAGGTCACCGACGCACAGTTCCCAGTCAGGGCATGTGCCCGGGGGGCAGGTTTGCACCCAGGTTGGGGCGTGTCCAAAGGCGCCCAATCCATGTTTCTCTGTCATATCGATGTTTTCCATTCTCTCTCTCTCTCAAGGTAAATAAGTAAAATCGTTTTTTAAAAAGCTTTTGTTTCTAGTTTTAACCCTGTTTCTTCTTCTGCCACAAGTGTATTTCCTCACGTCCTGTTCAACCCTAAACCCCTTCCGATCTAACCTTTCCCCCAGTAACATGACCAACACGACTCTCACCAAAGTCTCGAATGATGCCACTGTGGTTGATTCCGCCTGGTGAACAGCACCTACCTGAGAAAGGTGACTCTCACCATGGCATCATTGATTCCGCCTGGTGAACAGTACCTACCTGAGAAAGGTGACGTTCTAGACTCCCAGGGAATCCACAGAGGCGACCTGGACTGACCGTGTCCTTCCTTTGGCCCTCGCAGGTCTTCTGTGACTTCCACGGCCACTCCCAGAAGAAGAACGTGTTCCTCTATGGCTGCAGCGTCAAGGAGACCTTGTGGCAGGCAGGGTCCGCCGCGGGCGCGTCCGCTCTCTCGGAAGATGTCAGCTACAGGGTGAGTCTGAAGGGCCCGTCCCGATGGAAGGAAAGAGAAAACCAAAACCGTATCTGTGACATGGGAAATGGACACACTACAGAGAACCCACGAATCCAAGCTTGGCTTCTTGAAGTGGGTAACAAAAATGATAGCCCTTTAGTTAATCTGTGTCTCAGGAAAGGAAGGAGACACAAGGTGCCAAAATTAGGAATGAAAGGGGGCATTGCTACAGACCTTCCAAAATATAGAAGAATGCTGTTAATAATGTCTGTGCCAACAAATGGATAGATTCTGAGGGAGACACACCTTACCAAACTGACTCAAGAAGACCTGATATCCAGTACAACCCATTGTTAGTGTGGGGAGTGAATTATGTCAGTAATTAAAGTCCTCTCACAGATGCATTGTGGCCAGATGACCTGGTGGTGGATTCTACCAACATCGTCAAGAAATAACTAACACTGATTGTAAAAAAAATTCTTTCAAAAAAGCATAGAAACACTTCCCAACTCATTTTCTGAGTCCTGAATTACTCTGATACTAAAGCCAGAAAAGGTATCAGAAGAAAATAAAGCCAACATCTCTCACAAACAGCTATCCAAAAATCCTTGACAAAGTATTAGCAAGCCAGCCCAGCAGCAGACAAAAATCATTACCCACTGTGACAGAGTGGGGTGTATGTCATGAATGTAAGATTATGTTAACATAAAAAATCAGACACTCTTCTACTCCTTGCGAATAAACAAGTGGGAAAAACTACATCATTATCTCAACAGATTACAAGAAGCATTTGACAAAGTTAAATGTTCATTCAAAATAAAACCTCACAACAGACTGGCAGCAGAAAGGGAATTCTTCAGCCTGGAATTCGGCATCTAGGAATGTGTCATAGACAGAATGTTTCCCCCATAAGATCAGGAACGAGGCGAGAATGCTTTCACCATTTCTGTTCATTTTACTGGATGTTCTAGCTAGTTCAATAAGACATAAAAATATTAAAGAGAGAAAGATTAGGGAAAAAACAGAACTGTCTTTATTCACAGGTGATATGGTATTTTATTTGGAACATTCTTAGTGATCTAGAAAATAAACTGCTAGAACTAATAAGCCAGTTTAGCAGGGTCAATATTAAAAGTTGATTTTATTTGTGTACTAGCAATGAACAATCCAGAAATGAAATTAAGACCAAAAGAATCTGTTTACCATAATATTGAAAAGATTAAGTCAATTAGAAACAAACAGAAAAATACACTAAAAACTAAAAAACATTATTGGGAGGAATTTAAAGAGACTTAAATATGCAGAGAAATTTATGAAGTTTGTGGGTTGGAAGACTCGATGTTTTAAAGGTGGCCATTCTTAGCAAATTTTTCCATAGATTGAATACAATTTCTATCAAAATCTCAGCAGGCACTTTTGTGGATGTTATGTGAAAAGGCAAAAAGAATTAGAATTGCCAAAGAGATTTTACAAGAGAAGAATAAAGATTTACCTTACATGATTTTAATACTTACACGATTTCAAAACTATAACCACAGTCATCTTTTTTGAATATGGGAAACCAGACAGGGCTGACAAGAGTCTGCAAAAAGCAGATGAATTAAAAGGCCATCCAGGCTCCTGCAAGGTGCCTCGAAACCAGAATTATTTCATCAGCATCCTTCCCCCACCTGCTCTGGCTGGGCCTGATTCCCCTGCATTGGACAAATGGGCTTCGGGGTCCCTTGAGATGCAGAAGATTCATCCTCGGGGCTTCGTTTGTGTCATGCCCTAGACGTGCGTCCTCTTATTTATTCCTTGTAAGAGCTCTCACAGGGAGGTGTGAATTCGCCCATCTGCAGGTGAGAGGCCCTGTGGCTCAGGGAGGCCGGGGGTTTCTTTGGAGTCACTCAGTAGGTACGTCGGGGAACTGGACTCTTGGCCCTGACCTGTCGGGCCCTGTGACCCCTGTCTTCGGATGCGTGGTATGGAGTGTCCAGACAGAGGTCTGGGTCACAGTTCCAGCTGTCTGCTCCTGAGCAGTCAGGCTTCAGCAAGCATTCTGAGGGCTGCTTTCAGAAACTGAACAAGAGCCACGAGAAGAAGTGAGGTTTTCTTGGGGCTGTGTATATAATAATTACAAATAATAATATATTGGTATTTGTCACGTGGGATTTGGCATTCTCTGACTAGCTTGTTTCACTTAGCGTGATAGTCTCCAAGTCCACCCATGCTGTCCCAAGGCAGCAGTATCTATGAATAGTTTATTTACGTCTATTAACCAGCCCCCTCGGGATCTGGATGTACCTTCTCTGGCCAGCGCGGCTTCCCGTGCAGAGATTTCGTGTGAACAAGGCAAAGGCCCGCCCTCACGGAGCACCGAGGCTGCGAGGCAGAACAGAGACACGTAGTTACGTAAACAGTAACTGAATGGGAGCTGCAGTGAGCGTTTTGCAGGGGGGCCGGGGCAGTGGGATCCCACAAAAGGGGACGAGAGTGGGCAGAAGAAATCAATGAGGAGGCAGCTGCAGAGACCCAGAGGAGGGCGTGAGCGTCTCAGCCCCCTTGTTCGGATGACCCTGTGGGCCGGAGGGTGCGGGAACCTAGAGATCACAGTCAACTCTGGCAGTAATTATGTTAATGTGTACTTATCTGTCCTATGTAATTTGTAGTATAATTAACAATTGCATTAATCTTTACATTGATATAATTAACAATTATATTAACCTTTATATCACTGTAATTAACAATTACATTCCTTTTTTATATCAATATAATTAGCAATGCTTCTTTTAAGCACGAGGACAGGAAGAACCAGAGATATTAAGAGCCCTGCTCAATGTCCTAGAAATGACCAGAACTCCATTTCTTAAAAAAAAAAAAATTCGTTAATTGACATGGTCATCAGTATGTTCTCTTTCTCTACCTTCTCCCTGCAATTTGTCCAAAAACCTGAAGTTTTACTGTTTGTTATCTAACGTATGTAACTTGATAATACGTGCTAGTTTGTGGAGATCTGGTCAACACGGAGGTGTGGGAACCCTTCCTGTCACTGTCACAAGCGTTTCGGGCTGTCTCGGTGTGGGACCTGTGCTGACCCAAAGTCTTGGTGGGCGAACTCAGAGTCTTCGTCCCTGGGGGAAGGGGGTCCACTGGCTGCAACAGCCCCTCTCTGTCATTCTGGGAGCGGCAAGGCTGTACAGATGCCTTTTTAAAAAATTGATTTTAGAGGGAGAGAGGAAGGAGGGGAGAGAAAAAGAGAGGGAGAGAGAGGGAGGAAGAGGAACATTGTTGTTTCATTCATTTATGCATTCAGTGGTTGCTTCTTGCATGTGCCCTGACTGAGAACTTGGCCTATCGGGACGATGCTCTAAGCAGCTGAGCCACCCAGCCTGGCCAGATGCCTTCTAAATGGAGATTTAGTGGTCTCGCCCAAAGCTTTCTATCCTAGGGAGGAGAAAAAAAAAGGTATATATGAATGCAAAGAGTAATGGATTTTTAGGAGTTTTATAATTGGTCCAGTTTGAGATTCACGGAGCCGAGGATGAGACTGAAGAGCTCATTCTGGCAGTTACACGCTCTCGGGAAACAAGTGTTTCTGTTCAAGCGTCATCCAGAGCCCGCATGACTGAGGTGAGTGCACATGTGGCTGTCGGTTCGGCCCGCAGAGCTGGAGCACAGTGAGGCTGTGAACATCGGGTCCCTGTGAAGTCCGTGGCTCCCCACTGGGCCCAGGCCTGCCCCGTACGAGGCCGAGCACCCGTTCGCAGCACGTGTCCACAGTGACGCAGAAAGACGGGGCTGAGAGATCGTAGGCTCTGGAGCTGGCGAGGCCGCTTGGTAGCTGTTTCTTTCTAGTCCTTTCAAGTCTCAGTGACCTCATCTTTAAAATGATGTTTAAAACGATATTCATGTCTCAGGGTTGACATCAGATTTGTGGTAGCGTACGTTAAGTGTCGAGTGTATTGAGATGCTTAATAAATATTGAGCAGTCAGTTTTTATGGTGGCATATCCCCAGTCACCTGCCTCTCATGGTAATTTGTGTGTTTTTTTTTTTGTTTTTATTTGCAGACTCTTCCCAGAATCCTTGATAAGCTAGCACCAGCCTTCACGATGAGCAGCTGCAGCTTCGTCGTGGAGAAGTCTCGAGCCTCCACGGCCCGGGTGGTGGTGTGGAGGGAGGTGGGGGTGTCCAGAAGCTACACCATGGAGAGCAGCTACTGTGGCTGCAACCAGGGCCCGTACAAGGTAGGTGAGGCCGCGGGATACCCAGTCTTTCCGTCCAGCAGCATGGCGCTCCAACGGCGGGGGGCCTCTCTGGCCCTGCTCTCTGATCTCGCAGAAGGACCAGCTCAGTGGCTGCCTTCACTGGCAGCACCGTCTATGTTGATCCTGGAAGCGAATCGGGCATGCCTGCTGATTTCGTTTGTCAGTCATCTGCCTTCGCCAGCAAGCGGCAGGGTGCCTCCCGCTGACACGCACCCCCAGCTTTCATGGAGCCGCCGCCCGGCGCTGCTCCGTGCACGGGAACATTTTACAACAAGGAGACTGACTAGTCCCCCGTGCGTCATGAAGGGTGTAGGTCCGGACGTAGATGTTGTCGATGTATCTAAGGACCGTGTTTCTCTGTCTCCCGTGCTCCTCTCAGTCGGCAGCTCTCTGCTACCTTCTGTCCCCAGGGCACAGGGAAGCGTGTGCGTGAGGTGCATCCCCCCCGGCGTCTCCCCAAGACGAGTGGCTCTGGGACGCGTGCACTAGTGTCGAGTGAGAGGGCTCGTGCAAATCACGTTCCCTCCACAGCTCTGTGAACCGCACCGGCAGCCGGGGCACTGCTGCGGCGGGCTGTTCCAGCCGCTCGGCCCGCGCCCCCGCGACGGGGCAGGTGAACAAGGGACGTGGTGCCAGCGCCAGCAGGGTAGGCTGTTAACACATTTGTCAGGCACACCGGCAGGCTGCTCCTTGCTGACTTCCATTCAGCCCCCAGCATACCTGGACTTCGCTCGCCTCGAAGCTCATTGCGTTGGCTCTGGTTCTCTCCTGGAGCAGCCAGGAGACTCTTGGCGCGGACGCAGCCCTGTGCCTGTGGAAATCTGTTCGCTATCGAGGGCCTCAGGGAGCGACGGGCGGTGAACACAGTCTGACTTTCCACCTGGCCACGGGGTGTTTCCGACCCAGAGCTCCCCAACTGCCCATTTTGAGCCATTAATTCTGTTGCATAGCCAGTTAGTCTCACCAGTTGCTTGGAAGACTCGGTTTTTATTAATTAATCATTCGGCAGAATCATTCAACTGTTTTAATCCTTACCCGCATTGATGTTGATGCAGAGTAAGAAGAGGGAGATCATTGGAGGGGCGTGGGACTGGGCGTCCAGAGCCCTCCCTCTCCAGCCTCCCAGCAGGGCTGCGAGCTACGTACCCTGTAGATGGTTCCCGTATCGGATGCAGGTACTAATACAGGTGCCTCTCCACACTAGTCAAGGTTCTTGTAAAGGCCAAAAGAGATGCATATGTGAATGTCCTTGGAGATCATATGATCAGGAATCTGTTTACTCTCTTGATATTTAAAGCCCATAGGACTGCAAAAAAAAAAAAATAAGCCTGTAATATTGAGTCTCTAAGACCTTAAGGCTATAGGCGTGAGCCTGTCTAGCTGTATACCTCTTGAAGGAAAGGGGCCAGCTGCTTGTTTAAAAGACAGCTCCGCGTGTCCATCACAGACGTGTTGGACTGGTGACATTCATGGACTTTGTTCCTCCAAGCGCTGGCTCAGGCTGCCAGCTTCTGGTCCCATACGTATCAGTGCCATTCACCGTTAAGTCAGCTGGAAACTCCAGGTCCTCTGCAGCTGTTGTTTGAAACCCGAGGGACTCACAGGGCTAGGCCCTCACCGACGCTCCGTCTCCCACCCGCCGTACATAGTGGCTGGGGGAAGGGACAGAGACCGAACAAATCTTGCCTGACGGGACAGGCTTTCAGATTTCAGCTCAGCGTTTGCCCTGAGACGTTTTCTGCAGGGACAAGGGACTGGCCAAAGGAGGCCCTCCCGGTGCTAGACATTGCTCTGCTTTAACGGTCCCATTCTCGATATTAAACACCTCTCCAAATGGACTGGTCTTCTCCCTCCCTCTGTTTTGCTGTCCTTCCACATGTGGTTGAGTAGCTGAGCAGAACTGCAGAGAGTGACCAAGAGAGAAGATGCTGAGTACTTTTATATTTGGGGGGGGAGCAACCCCCACCCCCCCAGGAAGGAAGCTGGCCCAGAGTTGGGCGTTTCGGTGATTTTTGTTTGAGGAATTAGTGAACTCTGTGAGCTATAAAACAGTGCAGAAATTTCCATCCTGAACATATTGCAAATGGCTTTTGTACACGGAGAAGCTGACTCCCAGCTGAGTCCTGAGGTTGTTATTGTAAGGTCATCTTTCCATTCTTTGTTTAGCATTACCATTTATCCCAGAGATGGAGGACACTTAAATACGCCCACGAGAGGCATTCCTTCCTTCCTTCATAAGAATATAAATATTTTTGCAGTTTGTCTGGTTAACGTGGCTTTAAAGTCGTTCCAATCATTTCTCCCCCAGCACACGAAGTACCTGATTTGTTAGTATTGAAATGAAATATCATTCCTTACAGTGACATTTATGTTGGAACTGCATTAAAGAGCATAAGCTATTACCTTCAAATAATTATTATTAATATGATATTTTCTCTTCTATTTTCCAGTCTATAGTTGGCTATTTAAAAAAAAATTCCTGCTTTTGTTTCTTTGGGATGTAGTCTCTTTTGCTAGGTTATGTACTTAGGGCCATAATTTGTATTGAATGCAGAAGTCCCACCCACCGAGAGATGTACTGTAGCTATCAGAGACTGGTCCAAAGCTGTTGAGGCTGTTGAGGGGAAAAGCGAAAACCGAATGACGTATCCTTTGGGGGCACACTTCTTAGAGGCGTCCCGCCTGTGTGGACAGCTACGTGCTTCACAGTGAGTGCTCGCGGTCTGGGGTTGTCACCTCCATGGGTGTGTTTGCACATACAAAGGCATGTGACTGGGCCCCGTGGGCTGCTTGTGGCTTCAGAGAGTAACGTGAGTAACTCCCACCCAAGAAGGCTGTTGACACGCTTCTTGGCAACGCCGCTCACTTGCGTGGCAGCCCAGTGGGGCTTAGTCTTAGAGGAAGGGCAGAAGGTGGGTGAGTCAGCTGGTGTTTAAATTCCCTGCCTGCACGCTGACCCCTTGCATGCAATCCATCTTTCCGCCACCACCCCGTTCCAGCCTCAGAACTGCTCCTAATCCTTCCAAATGTCTTCATTATGTCTAGATGAAACCCAACCCTTCTCACGACATGTAGGCCTCTTACAGTCTCCTCATTCAGTTTTTAATTTTCAGTACCTCGTTTGATAGAAAGTAGGCGTTGAAGATGTGTGATGACTGATGAGTGGGTGAAGAAATAAGTGAGGAGATGACTGAACGGGAGTTTCCTGGCAGTCTGGTGGGTGCCCTCTCCGCCTGTGGGGGACAGAAAAGGAGAATCACTGTGGCCCAAATGGGGCAGGGCCGTTCTGAGTGGAGAGCTGAAGGGTGGGGCTGGAAAACCAGGGGTGGGGGCGAGGGACACGCATGCTATCACAGCACTGAGACCTTTCAGAGGTGTCACTGTATATGTGATTTGGGAGCATCTGGTGGATTCTTGCCCAGCGTAAGATGGTTCCAGCCCAGGTGTGGAATCTCCCGTGGCCACACTCTAATAACAGGTGATGATTAGACAGAAAAGCTTCCACAGTACGTGCCGGGCAGGGGTGCTACAGCCCGCTGTCTAGATCCCTCTGCAGGGCCCAGGCGCTCGCTGCCCCTGCATCCATCACCGGAAATTGTTTGTAGCTGATGGAAGCTGGCTTGCCAAAGCTGTGGGTCCTCCGTGAGAGCAGCCCGCAGCCAGCAGCCAGTGGCTGGTCTTGGGGGTGGGGGATGCAAAGGCTTGGCTTCTTCGCCTCTGTTGGGCAAACTCCAAAAGGCTATTCAGCTCACGAGCTCTTTCTTTACAGAGTCAGTTGGCTGGGGCCGGTGCTGCAATTGCATCGTGATTCAACTTCCTCCTCTGCCCAGTTCCGTCCTCGCCACTCGCAGGTGTTGCAGCCAGCACACCCCAGAAATCCTTCTGCAAAACAGCATATGGCGGTATTGAAATAGGCCCAGATTACAGAATATGAATTGTGAAACCAAGCACTTCAGCTATTGAAGGTGGTTGGGGAGGGACGAATTTTACAGAAGAAATGAACTCATCTGAGCTCAGCTTTCCAGGCCCCCAGCCCTGCCCCCTTCACACTCTGCTCCTCGCAGGCCGTTCGGGGGGCAGGGCGGGGCCCCACAGAGGACCAGAGACTGGAGCTGGGTGCAGGGCCCCTCACCCTGCGGCTGTGGTCCAGAAGCGGGGCTGGGTGGACTGTCTCCTGCAGCTGCCCTCTCAGGTGACCACCAACTAGGGCGCTGAAACAGCATCAGTTCATTCTCTCCCACTTCTGGGAGCTAGCAGCCCAGAATCAGGGCGTTAGCGACGCTGTGTTCTCTCTAAAGGCTTTGTGGGGGATGGGTTTCATGTCTCTCTCTCGGTCTGTGGTATTACCAGAAATCCTTGGTGCTCCTTGGCTGGGAGACTCATCCCTCCAGTCTCTTCCTGTGTCGTCAACGGCCTTGTCCACTGTGTGTCTCCGCTTCTGCCTCCCCTCCCCGGTCCTCCCTGCTCCTCCCAAGAGCATGGTGGCTGCAGGCCCGGCCGACTCCAGCAGGACGCGATCTTCACTCACGACATCCGCGAAGACCCCGTTGCCAAGGAAGGTCACATTCTGAGGTGCCGGGAGGGACATGAGTTTTGGGGATACACCGTACACCTAGTGTACTGGGTCCAGCGAGAAAGCGCCGAGTGTGTAGACCCAGGAACCAGAAGGAGCTTTGTGTTTCTGTCCTCGCATCACCGTGTCCCGAAGCCCGAAACAGACGATAAACAGGCCTTGCTTTCTGTTTAGCTCCTGGTCAAGAAAATGAACATCAGGAGATCTTCTTAGAACATCTATGCTTTTCAGGTCATCGACTTTATTTTTTAAAAACTGCTCGATATCTCAATGAGAGTTTAAAGATTTGTGTGTGTGTGTGTGTGTGTGTGTGTGTTTGTAACTCCCGGGGTGCCCTTAGGTCAAGATTTCTTAAATTGCCTGTAGAACAAAAGAGTCTAGGAATAGATATGATTATATACAAGAG